AAAAAAAAAAAAAAAAAAAAAAAAGGAGAGAAACGTGCCTCCAAAGATGACCTCTTCTTTCCCTGATCTCTTGAAAATATTTTTTGATAAACGTCACGCGGACTCGCGTGCCCCACGAAGATAAAGTCGTCGAAAGTACCTTTTATAAATCAACGGGGATCCTTTCCTCCTCCCTGCTCTCTCTTTATCTTACATCCCGGAAAGAGAGGCATTCCGAGAAGCGCGTCCATATTATATCCCAGTCGCCGCGGCTGGTATTATTGGAAAGCTGCGCGTTCAACGTGCACAGAATTTCGAAGGGTGTCGCGCCCGAAAACCGGTCAATTAGAATTCGCGAGGAATCTTTGCCCAACGCCGATCTCGCGATCTCGTGTCGAATATTCCTAAATTTTGGAAGATTTTGGAGAAGGATGCGTTTACTTGTCGAGCCATGTCGCCTTTCGTGCCATCTGCACGAGATGGGCAAGGAACTCGTTTGTATCGGAATTGGGAAACGGAGTTAGATTAACTTTTTTCAAACGTGGGATATCGATCATGGATTTCTAGAATTATTTAATAATGAATGAAGATTGGGATAAAGAATGCGAAAATTTCAAAAATCGTATAAATTGGGAATTTAGAATGGAATAAAATGTTCTACTCGAAGATATTTTATTTTTTGAAATTTATCGATTGATTCTATAGTGGGGTGAAAATAATATTTTAAGGAATAAAAGAAACCGATTATCATTCGCTTCATAGAGGATATCGATTGATTATATGACAAAATTCGAAGGAAAGACGAGAGAGATGAATTTTTAGAAAATCGTTTCGATCGTAATTCCGATAAACGTAAAAATATTTCATTGTCTCTGAAATTATTCCAGAATGGATTAATCGAAATTTATTCCAAGCAGAGAATTTGAGAGAATTTGCCATACTGTTTTCGCCTTTTCCTAAAAATTTCTTTCTTCTATTTCCATCACGATTTTCAAGAATATATTTCAATTACTTCCTTTTAATATCTAGAAACGACTATTCATTTTCTCGTGGCGTTAATGTCAAGTTCGTGTAAACTCGCTTCAGGATTCACGAAGCGCGAAAACACTTTGGTCAGATTATCTTGAAGAGCGCGGTACTCTCCGAGCTATCCGCTTTACTTTTCTTGAATCAAGGTCGGAGAAGAAGCTGCGCAAGAAGCCGAGAGACAGAGAGAGAGAGAGAGAGAGAAAGAGAAAAGAAACTTGGATCCTTAGTCCTCAGCCTTCCCGTACAATTTTCCAAACACGTGGAAAACGACGCGTTCCTTTTTTTTTTTTTTTCTTTTTTCGAAAGGAAGAGCTAAACGATTCTCTCATTAATCTTAATCCCTCAGCTTTACAAACAAAGCGATCTTAACGTTTGCAATGTGAACAGTTGTTATTTATTTATTACAAAGAATCGTATCGAGATGTTTAAAAATTTGCAACGCAAAAGAGCTATTTAAAGAAACCTCTTTTGCATTTATACGAGAAAATAGGAGAACGTTTCCAATGTTATCCGACTCAATAAATGAATTCTATTTGTTTTCCCATCGCGCGAAAAAGGAAATGAAGAGATATTCCGTTGGACGTTAGGGGATAATGGCATGGAAGAGGTTTGCGCCTCTTTCGAGACCGTTTGTGTAATACACGTCAGTCGAACGCGCGCCCCTGGCACCTGTCAATAGATTTCCAAAAGGAAGTTTCACAAAAGTTTCACCAGGCTGGAAAGACAATCCGCGGACAATACCAACGATCGTGTGACAGCCGATACACAGTAGTATCCAGTATACGCTTCTTTTCAACGACGAAAACCTTTGTAAACGAATCTCCCAATCGACGAATGGAAAAAGAAGGTGGTTCAATCGTGGGGGAGGAAAATTATTTTCAAGACTCTCTCTCTCTTTCCTCTCCTTCAAATTTCAAGCCGTCGTAAATTCCTAGATCCCCCCTCCCTCCCGTGGAAGATTTAACCAATCGTTGATCGATGAGAGTAATTAAACTTGAAAGATTAGAGACATTATAAAAGCCAGCACTCGGTGGTGTCGAATGGAAACCATTCGATTCATTCTCATTCGAAATTTTTTATTCACGCGTCGAACGCGTTGCTTTTCATTTAAAATTTATCGAAAATTTCGAAACTGTAAGCGTTCCATTACGCTCCAACTATCTCCTTCCCCCCCTCTCTCTCTCCATAAAATTTCCAATTCGTCCCTCGAGCCTGATATTCGAGAAGAAATACTCGAGTGAAACGGGGAGGATTCCTCGTGAATTACGCGAGGAGCGTATCGATTAACAAGGACGACGTTTCTCTCCCGTCTTCCAAACTCCGCTCGATCCAGATTCGAGAGAAGATGGATGTTGACGCATCGGCGGATGCACGACACGCGGGGATGGTTTGGGCGCGAGCCGAAAACCGAGAGGTGAGCAACGAGAAGGAGGAAGAGGAAGAGGAAGAGAGAGAGAGAGAGAGAGAGAGGAGAGGCATTCACCCTGAGGATGGCGCACGTAAACGTGGAAAGATGCACACGTTGGAGCACATTGGTCGCTGGTTCGTTCGACCAGCACGGATGATGCTCTCTCGGGGGTCGGGACAAGCTCCGGAGAAGCCCTCTCTGATCGTGGCGGTCGTGCGGGGTTTGGAGCTTGCGCACTCCCCTCGAGATCGTGGACTCGGTGCGCGGGGGGCGCGTGGCGGCACCGGGGGTGTCAGTCACGGCCCATCTGCCTACCATCGAGCACGTAAGTCGAGCAAGTGCATTTTATTTCTTTCCTTTCTTCCAGTACATCTTCTTCTACCCTTCTTCCTCGCTGCACCCTTTTCTTTCTTTCTTTCTTTCTTTCTTTCTTCTGCTCCTTTCCGTCAAGTCCATTTTATTTTCCACCTTTCTCTCCCTTCGAACCTCGTCCCCTCCTAACTCTCTTTGCGTCTCCTCCTTCGTTTCGAAGAATCTTACGCGAGGAAATTAATCGAGTCAACCTCTGGCTGAGTTTGTTAGTTGGTTGTTAGTTGGTTGTTAGTTGATTGGTTGGTCGTGGAGGAAGGGAGGAAGAAGGGATCCAGCCGGCGGGAGCTGGTGTCTCGGTGATTATGGCAAAAATGGCGGGTCGACCGTTGGACGATTGGCCGTCGTGGCAATCCTTCAGCCTCCCAACGTCCCGAGGGGATGAGGATTCGGCCTCTTTTTAACGCAAGTGCCTCTTTTGCGCCGCTGTAAGTGGAATCGTTCCTCTCCTTTTGTCGGGACGAATCGAGTCCCGACGTCGAGCGAGTGGGAATTCACGGTTCTTTCTTCCTCTCCTCTCCCTTCTCGTGCGCCAGTGAATGAATCTCGCACGCCTTTTCCTCTTCAGGCCAGGATATTCCTCGATGAGAAGAGGATCTTGCCTTAGATTCGCTTTTTTCTTGTTCCTGCTCGTTTCTCTCTTCATTATTTTCGCGAATACCGCGTGGATCTCTCGTTGGCTGGCTCCTTCTTCTCTCTCTCCTTATTCTCTCTCTCCTTATTCTCGTAGGTGGAATTGAAATTCTTCTTTGAAGGCGCCTTGATTTCTTCGTTCTTTTACTGATCTGAAGCTTCTTCTACTCTCTTTTTATTTCTTTCTTTAATTTTTTAGATATCTCCTTGTTCCTGCTCGTTTCTCTCTTCATTATTTTCTCGAATTCCGCGTGGATCTCTCGTTGGCTGACTCCTTCTTCTCTCTCTCTCCTTATTCTCTCTCTCCTTATTCTCGTAGGTGAAATTGAAATTCTTCTTTTAAGGCGCCTTGATTTCTTCGTTCTTTTACTGATCCGAAGCTTCTTCTACTCTCTTTTTATTTCTTTCTTCAATTTTTTAGATACCTTCTTGTTCCTGCTCGTTTCTCTCTTCATTATTTTCGCAAATACCGCGTGAGTTTCTCGTTGACTCGTACTACTTGCTCCTTCTTCTCTCTCTCCTTATTCTCGTAAGTGAGATTAAAATTCTTCTTTGCCTTGATTTCTTTACTGATCGAGTTACTCTCTTCTTATTCACTTTTTCAATTTTTTGGCAGACACCTTTTTGTTCCTGTTTCTCGTTTCTCTTCATTATTTTCGCGAATCTTGCGCGAATACCGCGTGGATCTCTCGTTGATTCGTACTACTTGCTCCTTTTTCTCTCTCTCTCCTTGTTCTTCGAAGACGCCTTGATTTCTTCGTTCTTTACTCGAGTATTAGCTTCTCATTCCTTTCCTCAATTTTTCGGCAGATACGTTTCTATCGTTTCTCGATTCCTCGTGGAGCCTCTTTCTTTCATCTTTCGTGAATCGTCGCGACGAATCTTTGACGATTGATCGAAAATCGAAACACGGAGGAGGGGCACGATCTCCTAATCTTTTCGCTCTTTTGTAACGTTCCCGGGTGAATCGAAATCAGGAATCACGTAAGCGTATCGAAAGAAAGTTGAAGCATCAAAAATTTCACGCTGATCGATGATTTTCCCTGCGTAACACGTGATACACGCGTATTTCCAGGGGGGGAAAATTAACACGCTAGAAGGAATCGCGCCTCGATTACGAGATAAATTATTTTGAATTATGTATATTCGATTATTTACTATTATAATCGATAAATAATCGTAATAATTTACGCACAATTTCGATTAATTATTCAACGAGGGATAAAACTGTCAACGATTTTTCTCGTTGGTCGAGTCAAGAATATTGCGTGATATTTTACCCAAGGTCGAGGTGTTTTTTCAAAAAGCCAGAGCCGTTGGAATACGATCACGTGCAACCAACGAACACATTCTCGATCCTCGTTCAAAAGTTTCGGAAGGCAAACGTTTTAAAACTTTAGTTAATCAAGATTCTTGACTCTTCTTCCAATTCTTCGCGAGAGAATATAACGAGATTCTCGAGTATATCTCTCTCGATATCCGTTCGAATAAATTTCAAACGTTCTCTTTCAAGATAGAGGTAGCTTCTTCGATTAATCTTCCACACGATCGATCGCGCGTTCGTATCGTTAATCGAACCTTTTCTTTATTCATCGGCAACGAATGAATGAATTTTCGTTGAAAAACATCGAGGTAGTTGCAAGTTCGCGAGAAATCGAAATTCCAGGCTCGAAGTTCGACCGAGATCAGCGCCGTTACCTGTCTCGTTTCGCGGAATAATAGTCCCCCTCCTTCTCCCCCCCTCTTGACTATTCACCCTCTCTTAAACATTCCGCGCGTTCACCATTTTACGGCGGCCAATCGACTCAATCACACGCATACACACGTACACGCACACAAAGTCGAGGGTTGAACGAGCGCTTTTATTAATGCCGATTTGTTTGTCGCCAGTCTTTCTGTATCAAAGTCTTTCGAGGATGGAAAAGGATGGAGGGGGGGAAAGAGAGGAAGAAAAGAGGAAAAAGTCCATTTAACACGCGGTATCGCGGGTTTGAATAGGGTTTGAATTCCGCAATACAGGTGTAACGATTCGAAAAGGGCGATAAAAGGATCTCGTTTTCGACGCTTTCTCGCGAACATTTCACCGCGAAATGAAACAATGAATCGAGAGCGAAAAATTTCGTTCCCCTCTCCTCTTTTTTCTTTTTCTTTACAATGCCAGTTCGTTTCCTCGAGTAAGTAAGAAATAAACGTGGATTTCTGGATCTCTTTTTATCGAATTGAATGTCGGAATCGCGTGGAAAAGTGTTAGACGAAATAGTATATCGAATCGATTATTATATAACTTTTTCTTACGCGTACGGCTCGAAAATGTGAAAATCCCTAGTCGATCTGGATTCCTCGGATCAAACCTGTTGCCCGAATTGCCGTAATTAATATTGGTATTGCGTGTCGAACGTTGTTGAGTCACGCGCCCCCGCGATAATCTTGCACAATTTGCCAATTAGGAGGCCCCTCGTTTCTAAATTGCCCCCTTCGTCGAGATTTCTGAATAAAACGGGATTCATTCCTGTATACGTGAATGCATATAAAACCTTCGTTTTCGAGAAATTTACATTGATGAAAGGGGAGAGGTGGGGGGATATTTCGTGGTGCAGTTTGTAGTAAATTAAAAAAAAGATTAAGAAAGAGAGATGGACCACGTCTCTTATATTTATTTTTTTAATGCCAATAGTCGGAAAATTTGGAGTAATAAATAATCGACTTACGATAAGATATCAGTTCGAATTGATTACATTGCAATTCTTAAATTTTAATATCGGATATATAGTTCACTTCGAGGAAAAAATATTTCATATACAAATCATTTGCCGATAAATTTCGTATTCGAAATTGAAAAAAACTATGCTATGCTATATCTCGTAGTCGCAAAGCAAAGGTTGATTATTCATCTTTTCGATTAAGGGGGAAAAAAAACACAGAAAAGCATCCGAGAAGCGGATAATATATCAGCGCAAGAAATACACGACGACGTTCATTGATCATGTCTCGGGGTGGTCAACCCCCGCAAAATGTACGTCGAGCCAGACGCGAATTGATAATCGCGTGAGACGAAGGATTAATTTCTTTCTTCTTTACTCTCCCTCTCTCAAAAGTCTAGCCGCCTACGCGGCTGCTGACCGATTATTATTTTTAGAACTCTCCCCCCTCCCTCGTTTCATAAACTAGCTCACCTTATGTTATTAATCCCGCGTCAATTGGATCAGGCACGAAAGGGGGAAATTTGGAGAGGTCGTTGCATCCTCGATGACCGTCTACTTTTCAAATAACGGTGGTCATTTATCGGTCAAAATCCGAAAGAACATTTGAAACAGCGCGGTGTATTTCTGCATCCTGAAAAATATCGCGTTTGCTCTCCGGATATTTACGAGGACTTTGTTTAAACGGCGTTTTTATATTCCTCTCGAGCGTTGTGTGGCGCACGAAACTTTGATGGATTATGGATTATGGATTATATTCGCCATAATAAAATAATGGACGACTCGCGAAAAAAATAAATATTTCCTTCCCTATCAAACGAATGATATTTCATCCGAATTCACAGAAAGATGAGATATTTCACGATAGGGAAGATAAAAATATCTCGCCACAGATGGTGATCTATCTAAGATACCGTGAAAAAGATTCTTTATCTTCGCGAATAATTCATACCTAATAAAGATTAAGGATAAAGAAAAGTCGCCATCGTTGCTCTCCACACGCGATTCGATGAAAAACGGGGGTGGGGATGTTGCTCTTTCGATTCACGCTGAGAAAGAAAACGAGAATTAAAGATTAGGAATATCGACTACTGGTCCCCAAGAGGGTTGTATTCGAGAGGATAATTTTTTCCCCGTTTTCCCACAGGGGGATGGGAGAGGGACGAGAAACGAGCGACCTCGTCGGGTTGCAGCGACAATCTCCCTTCCCCCTCCTCCGTGGAAATAGATTATTCGGAGAAGCCGGTTTAAATAGGCTTGATTTATTCAGATAGGAAGAGCGACAATCGTGCTTCCCCGCTATGTATCTCGCCCTCCCTGCTTCCACCCTTTCCGCTCGTTGTCTTTCCGCCATTTCTCCTCGCCGTTTCTTCCGTGATCTCCTCGGGTCACGCGAACCCGCGATGCGCAGAGAACGATTCGATTCGAAACTTTATAATAATTCATTCATCTTTGAGAATTTCCAAGATTTCGAGGAGGAGAAGAGGAGAAGACACGTGTATCGATACGTGTGTCTATCCGTAACGCAACGATCTTCGTTGCAGATGAGATGTAAAATACGTACATCAACGTAATGTCGAAGAGTTACGATAAAACGCGCTCGATTTATCGAATTATTTATATA